ATAAATATAAAATTTAAGAGATAGGTCAGAAAAAATTCGAAACGCTTTGTACACTTATTTCATATTGAAGTATAACAACTCATATTGATCAGAATAATTATTAATTCCGTTAGTTTTGTGCTTATTTCTGTTATATTAAAAATTCCTTATCAACTTTTGAGCATTTATACATTTGCAACCTTGAATGCTTATCATTAGGTAAATAGGTTTTAACAACCATTGTTAATATTAATTATTTTTAAAATAGCAAATATTTTTATATTTTATTTATTTAATAAGATATTTATATATTTTATATTAGGGGTTATTTATTTTAAATTTAAAATAAATAATAATAAAAATTTTGTTTATTATTAATTAGTTTATAATAATTTAAGTATAAATATTTTTATAAGACCTTGTATTTAATTATATCTATATATACCTACATATTTTTATATGTATATTAGGGTGTTTCATTTAAAACGAACAATTTTTTTTCTTGCTGACACATAAAAATTTTGTTTTTTAGGTTGAAAAAAGAATTCCCTGAAAATATGAGCCCTTAATTTTGATTCTAAGTACTTCCTTTTTAATTTTGTAGTTTTTCCATATAAAAAGCATGTATTTTTAATAATTTTTACTTTAAATTTCTATATTTTGGCCGGGATTTGAATTATAATTTTTATCACCATAATTTTCTGCATAGTATTCACGGTTTTTGAAAGGCCCTGCATCAGTTTTGTTTTTGATTTATTTACGTTGATTGTAGTAGCTCCAAAAGTCGTTTTTCACTTTTTCTCACATATTTTTGAGAAAATCGAGCGAATGACTGGTTTTACCGAAAAAGTTCAAATGAAAAAGTTGTAGGAAATTTAATTTTCGACAAAAAAGGTTCCTACGTTCATATCACTAAAGTGCTTTGTTTATACCTTATATCTCTTAAACAAAGCACTTTAGTGATATGAACGTAGAAACTTGTTTTGTCAAAAATTAAATTTCCTACAACTTTTTCATTTGAACTTTTTCGGTAAAACCAGTCATTCGCTCGATTTTCTCAAAAATATGTGAGAAAAAGTGAAAAAACGACTTTTGGAGCTACTACAATCAACGTAAATAAATCAAAAACAAAATTGATGCAGGGCCTTTCAAAAACCGTGAATACTATGCAGAAAATTATGGTGATAAAAATTATAATTCAAAACCCGGCCAAAATATAGAAATTTAAAGTAAAAATGATTAAAAATACATGCTTTTTATATGGAAAAACTACAAAATTAAAAAGGAAGTACTTAAAATCAAATTTAAGGGCCAAAATTTTCTGGGATTTTTTTTTCAACCTAAAAAACAAAATTTTCATGTGTCAGCAAGAAAAAAGAATTTTTCGTTTTAAATGAAACACCCTAATGTATATAGATTAGGGTGATTCAAAAAAACCTTTTTTTTTGTTTTTTTTTCTCGGAACCACGCTCAAAAGTTTCGTATAGATAAAAATATGCCTGTGAAAAAATGAGCTCTTAATTTCAAAATTAAGATGCTCCGCATCGCACTTTTCGATTTTCCATAAGAATAACATAGGAAAAATTATTTTTGTTTCTTTCTATTTTTGTAACTAACGAACAATAGGTCGTAGTGTAAAGTTCTTGACATATTTTTGTAGAGAATTGAACGCTCTACAAAAAAGTTTTTTTTATGATTTTTTGATAAATTTAAGGTCAAAGTTCAAATTATACGAAATTTTTGTGTATTTTAACTACCCGACTCATTTAAAAAAAATTGAAATATTTTTGTAGAGAATTGAACGCTCTACAAAAAAGGTCTAGAGTCATTTTTTGGTAAAGTAAAATTAACCGTCAATTTAGTCGTTTTCTCGAATTTTTTCTGGATTTTTTAGTTCAAATTTATCAAAAAATCATAAGAAACCTTTTTTGTAGAGCGTTCAATTCTCTACAAAAATATGTCAAGAACTTTACAAAAATAAAAAGAAACAAAAATAATTTTTCCTGTTATTCTTAAGGCCGTATTACAGCCGGCAATTCTTCTTGCTGCAATTTTTCTTGCCATCAAGTTTTCAAGGCCGTATTGTATGTTGTTTTACAGTCAGCAATGGCAAGACAACTTGCTGTTTATTACCGTGCTACCAACCGAAGAAAAATATAAGATTTTGTAAACACAAAGTTTATTTGTTATTTAGTAGAGATATTTAAAAATTAATGAGGGAAATGGATACTAGAACTTTGAACACAATGCCAATCATAAAACAAATAACCTTAAACTGTTTAACTCAAACAGCGTCTCTCTAGGGAATTTGTAGTAGGGTTGGTAACATAAAAGTTTCACCAGATTTCACCCCAGAATTGCCGTGAAACGGCAATAAAAATCCATCCGGACCGGTTTTCGGCAATTGCAAGAGATTCGTCGAAATGTCTCAACTGCGCATACCTACGGCAATTTTCATTGCAATTGCCAATAGAATTGCCGGCTGTAATACGGCCTTTATGGAAAATCGAAAAGTGCGATGCGGAGCATCTTAATTTTGAAATTAAGAACTCATTTTTTCACAGGCTCATTTTTATATCTATACGAAACTTTTGAGCGTGGTTTCGAGAAAAAAAAACAAAAAAAGGTTTTTTTGAATCACCCTAATATAGATATAATTTAATTAAATACAAGGTCTTATAAAAATATTTATAATTAAATTATTATAAACTAATTAATAATAAACAAACTTATTATTATTATTTATTTTAAATTTAAACCCCCAAGAATTATTATTGATCTTACTGCACACCAGTGTTGCCAGTTGTAACATAATTATCGAATTGTAACATAAATTTTTCTAAAAACAAAGCTTGAAAATTATATGTAACATAATCGATAATTGTAACATAGTTTTTAATCCAAGTATCTGGACAAAATTAACTTAATTCTATCCAGATTAGCTGGCCATACACAGACGTTATTGCGCGCGGTTTATCGTGGCGTGTTGGGATGTAGCGGTTAGTATGCACGAAAGAACGGCATGGCAAAAAAAGCGTCATGTTCCATACACTTGATAAAGTATTCAATTGATTTAGCAAGTGATTGCGCGTGGTATATCAGTTTCAAAGGAAAAATCGTATGTGAGTGGGCAAAAAGTGTCATTTATCGAGTAGCTTGAAACTGCATGTGATCATGTACAAATTTTCAACGTGAAATTTCGCCAAGCGAAGGTAAACCGTGACGCGGAATGTGGCGTGTGGACACTGCTGAAATGATGTACGCCACACTCCAGAGGAAAGCACGTCTAAAATCCCTTCCTGTTCTATCATTGCACACGGCGATACTCACTCACGTACATGATTTTCCATATGTTTTTGCAGATAACACGATAAACCGCGCGCAATAACGTCTGTGTATGACCAGCTATTAATTAATTTAATTAAGCATAAAGCCTGATTTGTAGATTTCCTTCCTTCCTCCCGTAAAAGATCAACAATACCGTAGTGCTGTTTATAAATTCCCGTACGGTATTTATGGTAGCCAAGTTGGGCATTGAATATAGACCTATTCCATAAAACGGACTTTTGGATAGCGCGTGCGTGAAAAGGCACCTCGTCCTTTTTTTAATTATAAAAGAGAAAGAGATACCACTCTTCTTCAGGCACGCGCTATCCAAAAGTCTGTTTTATGGGATAGGTCTATTATATGAAATAGTTTATAGTTGTCAGAGGTAGCAGTAAGGGAAGTAGAGGCAAGAGCGTAGCGGCAATAGATGACCATCTTTCATCTTTTCTTACCTCAACCGCTACTCCAGCCAATCATGATTCAACTAAAAACTGCCATGTGCACATGGCAGTTTTTAGTTGACAGCCTCGCCTTGTAAGTTTAGTGTTTATGCGAGGGGCCGCCATTACCGCTACCGCTACTTTCTGAACTATAAATCCCGCTTTATAGTATTTTTAACAAATTTTATAATTTTTTAAAAAATCGATAATATTTTCAACCCTGCTTCTTTCACTTTTTTATGATTAAATTATAATAATTATTGTAACATAATTATTACAATTATTACATAATTTTGCGAAAATTCGATAATTTTATTAACCCAATTCGATAATTTCAACTTTTACATCTGGCAACACTGTTGCACACGCAAGCAATGCAAGTCAAAATTTGCGACTGGAACAACACCCAAGTTTAAATTAACATTATTTCTGTTGGCAATACTTATTTTTCTTTGTTCTTTGGTTGGCATGATTTTAGACGTCAGTTGTCAATGGTTGAAGATAAATAGTAGTAAAAGAAATGGATAAAATCTTTTATGCCAACCGCATTTACAATAAAAATTTATCCATAAACAACTTTATAACATGTATCTATTTGCCGTTAATAGTGCTTATCTTAAATTACACAGGAAATTCGTATAACATCGGAAAATGTGAAAATTTCTATATTATCCTGTTAATCTTTATCTGTGAAGTATTTAAGTTTTCAATTTGTTATTCGAAAATGGAGAAATCTGTTAAAAATCCAGACGCAAAAAAATACAAACTGAAAGACTATTTTAAATGCATTTTAGTGTATTTCCTCATGACTGCCCTATTTTATGTAATTGCTGTACTTTTTGGTGCTCCATTTGTAACCAAACAGGAAGAGACTATGATGTTATCTATGTTTTTAAGTACTTTAACTGTCTTACCTTTAATATTCCACTTTGGAATTGAAAGTGTATTGACAGTATTTACTTCTCTGTTAGCATACGATGGCATTGAGACTTGTAACAAATTTTTGGTTATTACTCGTCTTACTATTTTGGGAGCTTGGTTGGGATCAATTTTGATTCCACTTGACTGGAATAGACCTTACCAAGAATGGCCCATTCCATGTTGTTATGGTGCCATAGGTGGTTGCTTTGTTGCTAATATTTATGCACTTTTTATGGCAGATGATAAAATTTTCTATAAAAAACAAAATAAATTTAATTTATAGTATGTGTCCTTAAAATCTGCAAAATATATACTAATATTTTTTATTTTTAGGAACTAAAAGATTGTAAGAGTCAAATGACTGATTTAACAAATCAGTGGTACCAAGCCATCAGGATTTCTCCAGACCAATCAGATGAAGAGACTGGCAACACTCCTAGATCCAGTATTTCAAGTATTGTTCGCTGACTACCAAAGGGATCTGAATCTATACCCCTAGTTCGCACTTGTAATAAACAGCATTAAAAAAAATAATTAAAAATTAGTAGTTTCTTACCATGCATTGTAATTGTATTTTCATAATAGGATTAATTCATGTAGCAAAAAGTAATATATTACTCCTCAAGGAATATATCTACACTATACTTTTACATTTTTACAGATACCTATTTAAATAATAAATTATTTTAGTAGGGTTATTACTGATTATATTGTATACATTGTTGTTAAAACAGGTTTTTTAATAACTAAGAAATTAGTTTATCATTTTAAAAAATGACTTTAAATTGTAGATATTTAGGCACAAAATTATTACCTACATTTTTGAGAAAACTTTTGTAAATATATAATATAAAGTATATTTTTTTTACAGTAAATAATTACTTCAACCCATGCAAAAAAGATTTACCTTTTATGGAAAAGCCTAGATATTGTATTTAATAAGTTTTTCTAGTAATAATTTAAACTATAAAAGACTATTGCAAGTGTTATTTTTTAATGTTTTTGTTCCTTTTAAATGGTATTAATTAATGTAAAATTTATTAGAATAATTTATATTTTAATGAATAATACCTTCAGATGTAAATTTTCAACCAGGGTTGTTGTGATATAGAATATATAACTTGGTTGTGTGTGATAATTGTACAAGTCACAATAATATGGCTTTGTAAAAGTCGCTTATACTTAATAAACACTATTGAATCTTAAGTCATTTTTATTTTGTAATTAAATCTTAAATATATAATAAGGTAAATTAAACAACTAAAAGTATATAAAATTTTAATAAAAAATAATAATGGAAAGTTAGACTTAAACACCAATACAAAAATGATTTTTACAGAAACCTAAACATCAATTAAACAAATATCATCTTCAACTGGATTTAATTTTCGCTTTTTTGATGATGAGCCCTCTTGGGGATCATCAGATTTAACATTATCATCTTCATCAACAATCATAAGATCATCATCAGATTCTTCTTTTTCTGCTTCTTTTTGTCCATTTTCTTTGCCTAAAGATGAAATAAATAAATTTATATTCAAAACTTAAAAATTCTTACCATTTGTAGACTCCTTGGCTTTCATTTCTTCTGGATTTCCAACTACTTTGAATGATGGGTCTTCTGGTTTTGATTTTTCATATTGAGTAATGGTTATTGTCAACTCATAGTTTTGCAAAAAATCATCAACTTTTAGGATACTTCCATCCACTATTCCAATTTCTGATAACTTTTTATCATTGTTGATCTGAAATTTTATTAAAAGAAATTAAAGCAAACTAAACTGAAAAGGCACCATATTTTCATAAGTTTGCGAAATATGAACTAAATAATGGGCCGCCGAACTAACCTCAAAACTACTAATAAAACTGGTAGCGCATCTCATAAGTTTAATCTAGGAAATTCCTTTAAGAAATATAATACTATTTCTTGCAAACAATCAATAATTGTTAAGGTATTATTAATTATTAAGGTAGTATCTCCATTTAAAATGTTTGATAAATAAATAACAATAGGCCAAAGAAGTATCGGGTTTTCGCAACACGCGCGCCATCTGGTGGACTTCGATAGCATTGCGTGAATTTAAGAATTGTAAACAATATATTTAAAGCACAGATTATACATCATATTTAAGTAAATAGGTAGTTTTTCACAAAAGAGAGGAAGGCAGAAGTCTTCTCGACAAATTTTGTCCAATTGCACAGCTAAATCGCGCACATTATTTATGTGTTACGTTGAAAGGAAAAAATTAAAAAACCTTTTTATTACTCGATTTCGATTGATTATTCCTTATATCATTGATTAAGAAACTCAACGCTTAAATGCTTAAATAGTTACGTTAGTGTGTGCATTTTATCTAAGGGATCATGGTGAATGGGGTAGTTAAATTTTTTCTGACCTATACTTTTTATGGTTTTATTCAAGGCGTTTTGTAATATTAAACATTTCTGTGAAATCAGAATTTCAATTAAGTTTACCGTTTTCGAGATATTTACAAAAAATATAAATTTTTATGACGTCACAAACCCCACCATGTGACCAACATTCCAAGATTTCTATTGGTTGAAAATTACCCTGTTGTCAAGTTGTCTTGTCAATGATTTCATTCGGTTATGTCAGAAAATACCCGAAGAGGTTATGTACAAATACTGTCACTGTCAGTTGAGTGAAAGAAGAAGAAGAAGAGATTCTGAAAGTAAAAGTTTTATTGATAGGTTTACACATTGAAACACCGTGTGAAACCTAATAAAATGTAATAAATAGGTACCTAATAACTGTCTAAAGCAGAGTTTAATATATTTCATAGAAAAAAGTGGCAAAATAAAGCTGAAAATGAATGAAATAAATTTACAAAAAATAACAGTAAATGTAAGTTAACAATGGTATTTATGATATTTGTGTATAGTTTTTATAAAACTTGCATCCCTGATGATGAGCATCAAAACCTTTTGTAAGATTTAAAAAATATATGACAAACTTTTGGACTGTTCGAAGATACTATGCTCTAGAGTAGATTTTTGTACTTTTCGACAATTCTGGTTTAAATATTGCTGCAATAACGTACATGGTAGGTAAAGATACTGCAGGGTCTACAAATAGACATTTTTATTAAAATTATTCAAACAGATGGTCACCAAATTCATTAAGTACCTATCTTTCTTATTACTGTTTGATATTTTAAAGTCCAAGATATATCTAAAAGAATATAAAGAACTAGGCATTATACTAATGAAATGCATTTACGACAAAATATGATTATAATTATAGGTACTTACTTTATTTGTTTAAAAGCTCCAATGTTCAATGTAACCAACCATTCCACAAGATTCCTCTGCTTTGGAGTCCGTTATTAATAAATCACTTATCTAATATCAATTACAAATAACATAACAATAACATTGATTTTCAATAATCTAAATTTAAAAAAAAACATAACCCGAAAAAAAGAAACGTCAAAAAATCAATTCTTCTTCTTCTCCTCAACTAAAATTTTAGATCAAGTAGTTTTAAAACTAAAATATTATAACGTGGCGCCATCTATCGTAAGAATCTTAAACTAAACACCATAGAAAAAGCTGGCAACGTTGTCAATAGCCTAGTGACGTAATAAGGAGACTTTTTTTTGTAAATATCTCGAAAACGGTAAACTCAATTGAAATTCCGATTTCACAAAAATGTTTAAAATTACTAAACGCCTTGAATAAAACCATAAAAAGTATAGGTCAGAAAAAATTTAACTACCCCATTATTGTGCTTTTAATTGTAAATAAAATTCAAGAACTAAGTCGTTGCATTTTCATGTTTTGCCAAAGGATCCAATTCGGTAAGTACATTTGTTGGTGAAGAATTAACTAATGATAACTTTACCTAATATAATTTATATTTAAGTTTTGACATTTTTAAGAAATTATTAAAAAATAATTTTTGCACAAACATAACCTTAAAATCAACCATTTTTATATTTGAGTTCTCTAAAAAACGCCTACAACTGCATTTTAAACAAAAAATATACCTACGAATTCATGGCAACCTAATATTATATATAATACATAATATAATGGTATTTTACCGTTGAGTGGAGACTTTCTTAATCAACGATTTTAATAATGCTAAATGCTGTTTAAATTTAGACGACTTAAGTATTTGACGATTTTTACTGAATTGAAATATTTACACTTTTCACGTTAATCACTACTAAAATGCATTTTAGTAGTGATTAACACATGTGTATTTATTGTATCTAATAGATACAATTTATATTTACAGAGACTGTATGCAATTTATTTCTTCATTCAGATTAACACTGTTTATTGTAAAACCGGTAAAAACTCAACCCAGGATTTCCTCTCGAAATACACCCAACAACACAACAAATCGAGCCACGGTTTTTTTTTCGATATTTTTTCGGCTTTACTCTCAAAAACACTCGTTTTATTTGTAACATAAGCGCTTGTCAGCTGATTATTAAAAGTCGTACTTTTTTACGATGATAACAGCCGAGTGGTGGCGCTACTAGCGATACTTCTTTAGCGTATAGGCCGTGACAGCAAATTCTGCGGGGCAAATGTAGTAAAAAATAAAACGTATTTTAATTAACAAATTAATACTTTAATAAAGTATTATATCTAACAGTGTTCCAGGGGGGGCCTAATACCGAAAAGTCTCCCAAGTAGCATTATAGTGACGAAAACTGCCCGGACAACATTCGTGATAATCATACGAACATCACGTCGTGATTTTCACAAATTTTATTCATACTGATATCATACGGAAGTCACCGCGTGATAAATGAAAATCATACGAACGTCACGACGTGATTTTCACAAATTTTATTCATACGGACATCATCCGGATGTCACTGCGTGAGAAATAAAAATCATGTCGTGATTTTTTAAGCCATCGCTGTTTGCGATTGACCGATGGCACAAAAAATCATGTCGTGATTTTTTATGCCAACAGTGTTTGGATAATCATTTTTGCGCCACGTTCGTACACTAAGAGAAAAATTATGTTGAATCAACAGTTTTTGCGGTTAAATACATTTAATATTTTCTTGGATTTAAATTAACTAAATATATTTAATTTAAATCCAAGAAAATATTGAATGTTAAACTGTTAATTTAATTGTTAACATACTTTTTCTTTCAATGTACGAATGTGTCGCAAAAATGATTATATGGATATATCCAAACACTGATGGCATAAAAAATCATGTTGTGATTTTTTATGACCAAACACCGATGGCATAAAAATACATGTCGTGATTTTTTATGCCATCGGTGTTTGGACATTTATTTTTGCGCCACATTCGTACATTGAGAGAAAAAGAATACCTACATATATATTGAATCAACAGTTTTTGTGGTTAAATAAAAACATTCAATATTTTTTTGGATTTAAATTAATAGTTAATTTACATTCAAAAAAATATTAAATGTATTTAACCGCAAAAACTGTTAATTCAATTGTTAACATACTTTTTCTCACACTGTACGAATGTGGCGCAAAAATAAATATCCAAAGATGTCCGATGGCATAAAAAATCATGTTGTGATTTTTTATGCCCAAACACCGATAGCATAAAAAATCATGTCGTGGTTTTTTATGCCATCGGTGTTTGGATATTTATTTTTGCGCCACATTCGTACATTGAGAGAAAAAGAAAACCTACATATATATTGAATCAACAGTTTTTGTGGTTAAATAAAAATATTCAATATTTTTTTGGATTTAAATTAATAGTTAATTTACATTCAAAAAAATATTAAATGTATTTAACCGCAAAAACTGTTAATTCAATTGTTAACATACTTTTTCTCACACTGTACGAATGTGGCGCAAAAATAAATATCCAAAGATGTCCGATGGCATAAAAAATCATGTCGTGATTTTTTATGCCCAAACACCGATAGGTGTTTGGATATTTATTTTTGCGCCACATTCGTACATTGAGAGAAAAAGAATACCTACATATATATTGAATCAACAGTTTTTGTGGTTAAATAAAAACATTCAATATTTTTTTGGATTTAAATTAATAGTTAATTTACATTCAAAAAAATATTAAATGTATTTAACCGCAAAAACTGTTAATTCAAAATTGAATTAACAGTTTTTGCGGTTAAATACATTTAATATTTAATATTTAATATTCAGTGTGAGAAAAAGTATGTTAACAATTTTGTTAACATACTTTTTCTCACACTGTACGAATGTAGCGCAAAAATAAATATCCAAAGATGTCCGATGGCATAAAAAATCATGTCGTGATTTTTTATGCCCAAGCACCGATAGCATAAAAAATCATGTCGTGATTTTTTATGCCATCGGTGTTTGGATATTTATTTTTGCACCACATTCGTACATTAGGGGAAAAAGTATACTTACATATAATATATATTCAATATATTATATTGAATCAACAGTTTTTGTGGTTAAATACATTCAATATATTTTTGGAATTAAATTAATAGTTAATTTACATCCAAGAAAATATTAAATGTATTTAACCGCAAAAACTGTTAATTCAATTGTTAACATACTTTTTCTCACAATGTACGAATGTGGCACAAAAATAAATATCCTAACATGTCCGATGGCATAAAAAATCATGTCGTGATTTTTTATGCCCAAACACTGATAGCATAAAAAATCATGTCGTGATTTTTTATGCCAACGGTGTTTTGATAATTATTTTTGCGCCACGTTCGTACACTAAGAGAAAAGTTATGTTGAATCAACAGGTAA